TGTTGCTGCTAAGTGCCATCGGGTCAGTTCTGACTCACAGGACCTGGTTTAGGATTTTCCAGGAGCAGTTGGTGGGTTTCAACTGCTAAGCTTCAAGTTCAAACCGACCTTGCAGTCCAGTGCATTATATTATAGTACCACAATAGGACTCCCTTATAAAAACACTGGGAAGAAATTTGATGAAAATAATAATGTGGAATACTTTCATTTTACAAGTTATAATTTTTCTCATGTTCTGATCTAATCTTTCATGTATGTAATTAGAAACTTTTGTTACTTATAGAGAATGTTGTTGTTAGGTGCCATCAAGTCGGTACTGACTCATAGAGATTTTATGCAAAGCAGAATGAAACACTGCCTGATCCTGGGCCAAGCTCACTGTTATTGCCTTGCCTGAGCCCATTAATGCTGCCACTTGGCCAATCCTTAGCAACACTCTATAAAGTCACACAGCCATCTTAAATAACTACCAAAAGGGAGGAAAATCATCATCTCTATAAGAGGCAAATTTGGATTTGATCCTATTCTTGTTACATTCTAGGAAGAAAAACCAATCAAATGAAGTAATAAATAAGTGTGTAGGGTAGTGCTTATCACACAGTTAACAATCAAACCGCACCACACTTACTATTTTGTCACTGATAGATATTAAAGCATAATGAAATTTTACCTGATAACCTTGTCGTATAATCTATTCTCTCTCCTCGCCAGTATTCCAAAGGTTTCAATCGTATTCTCTTGCTCCTGCGAACATCTGGCGAGTTGGAGGGTAATACTATAAAAAGATGTTAGACAAAAATGTACATATATTATGCTTAGTTGGGTATTTTGCCATTTATTTTAGCCTTTAGAACATGAAGGCTTCTATACATATAACCAGCAAAACAAAATCTTAAGATATATTTATGCTAATCATTAAAAAACTCCCAATGAAAATACAGGCTACCAGGCTGCCAAATATTTTAAAACGTGATTAAGAATTGGCAAGATTAAATGTACACAAAACTCTCATATATTGGTAAACATTTGTGATAAAACACAACTTAGCAATATCTATTAATTATCATATGAGAATCATCCACTAGAAAGACCACAGACATGAGTTAACTTGTGTGATGGGAAGAGAGAGGCTGGCAGAAGACAGATGAAGGTAGGGGAAGACACAGGGAGTAGTGCAAGATTTAAAGAGAATAAAGATAAATACTATAAACTGATGCTATTGGAGGGAATTGCAATCATTGAAATGGAATGAACTATATGATTTATTGAATATAAAACTAATAATTTGCTCTTTAAACCTTCACTCAATTAGCAATAAAAAGTTTCAGAAAAAAAGGAGCCAAGACACAAATAAATACATGTACACCCAATTTCATCTCAACAGTATTCACAATAGCAAAAGGATGGAGACAGCCTAAATGCTCATCAATAGAAGAATGGATACACAAGTTTTAGGACATACACACAGTGTTACCAATTATGAACCTGAGAAACACCTTATAATGTGGATGAACGTGGAGGACACAGTGCTGAATGAAATAAGTCAATCCAATCACAAAAGGGCAAGAGACCACTGTATTGAAAAGTCAAGAAAAGGTTTTCATGCTAAAAGTAACTTGGTTTAGTTGCCAGGAGTAGTAGGGAAGGAAGAGTAATTAATTCAGTGGCTACAGGGTAGCCAATGTGTTCACTTGGGTGAGAGGGAGTATATTTAATTTTAAAAATAGTAGTAATTCAAGGTACAAAAATAGAAAGTAAAATTCTTAACAATTCTTGTTCATATACGGGAATATCTGTATATAGTTTTTTCTCGGTCATATACTGGGAACATTTACATCTTTATGATACAAACAGTATATTGATGATGTGTCAAACTCTCATATTTCCTAATGATGGATGAGAACAACCTGAGTTTATTTTTCGAAGCCACTGGATAGTGTTGAAATTGACATATTTGTAACTCAAAGTGATATTTTGTGAATGTAAACTCTTTAGAATTCTTGCTCATCAATGGAATAAATGTATTTTTTATGCTATTAACAATGCATTTGAAAATCATTTGGACTTGTAATAATACGAGAGTACTTTCAGAACATTTACAGGATCTTACATTTTCTGTTGATAAATGAGAGAAATGGAGCATATTTTTTATTATTCATACATTTGTTGGGAACTTTCCCATCTTTCTAAATTAGAGTACACAAGTTTAGGGTGGAATATAGAAGTTAACTCCAATACTCCACACAACTAGGAGTTATCAAAATCCTGCTTGGCAAGCTTTCTGTTGCAAACCAGGCAGTTCTAACCCTTATGTAAGTCCATAGATCCTTATCATGCCTCTTGCCCTTCCTAGCTATTTCTTGTTGATATAAAATTTTGGAAACAAAAGCCGTTAATAACACCATCTTCCTAGCAGTTATATTTCCTTTGACAAAATTCTCCACCCTATTTATTTATCCTAGGTGGGATGTTGTTGTTGTTGTCTGGTGCCACCGAATTGGTACAAACTCATGGTGACTCTTCGCACAACAGAATGAAACACTGCCAGGTCCTGGGCCAACCTCACAATCATTGCAAGGCCTGAACCCACTGATTCTGTCACTGTACCAGTCCACCTCATTGGGTGTCTTCCTCTTTTTCTCTGACCCAGCATTTTACCACACATGGTATCATTCTCCAGTGACTGGTCCCTCTTTGTAATATATCTGAAGTATGAGAAACGAAGTTTGGCCATCCTGGCTTCCAAGGAGCACTCTGGCTATACTTCTTCCAACACATATCAATTTGTTCTTTTAGCAGTCCATGGTACTTTCAATATTCTCCTCTAATACCCTAACTCAAATGCATCAATTCTTCTACAGTTTTCCTTATTCACTGTCCAACTTTCTCACACATCTGAGGTTATCGAAAATACCGTGGCTTGGGTCAAGTCTACGTTAGTACTCAAACTGATATTTTTACTCTTCAGCACATTAAAAAGGCCTTATGCAGCAGATTTAGCAGATTTGCCTAATGCAACAAGTCCTTTATTTCTTGACTGCTGCTTCCACAAGTGTTGATGGTTGATCCAAGCAAAATGAAGTCTTTGACAACTTCAATCTTTTCTTCAGTTATATGGATATTGTTTATTGGTCCAGTGGTGAGGACTTTTGTTTTCTTTACATTGAAATACAACCCATATTAAAGGCTGCAGTCTTTGATCTTCATCACTAAGTATTTAAAATCCTCTTCACTTTCAGCAAGCTAGTTTATATCATCTGCATATTGCTGATTGTTAATGGGTCTTCCTCCAATTCTGATGCCAAGTTTTTCTTCATATTATCCAGCTTCTTGGATTATTTGCTCAGCACACAAATTGAATAAGCATGGTGAAAGAATACAACCCTAAAAAAACATTTCCTCATTTTAAAACATTTAATGCTCCCTTGTTCTGTCTGAACAACTGTCTCTTTCTTGGTCCATGTACACATTCCTCAAAAGCACAAATAAGTGTTCAGTAATACTCATTGTTTGCAATGTTGTCCTTAGCTTTTCATAATACACACACAATCGAAAGCCTTTGCATAGTCAATAAAACATAAGTAAACACCTTTCTGGTATTCTCTGCTTTCAGCTAAGATCCATCTAACGTCAGCAATGATATCCTTCATTCCACGTCCTCTTCTGAAACTGGCTTGAACCTCTGGAAGTTCTCTGTCAGTGTATGGTTGCAGTTGTTTTTGCATTACCTAGTAAAACTTTACTCGCATGGAATATCAATGAAACTGTTGCATGATTTTGGCATGGGAATCAGTATGGTTGAACACAGATCATTTCTTTTGGGTACAGTGACTCTGTATAGTCCTTCTAGCTTGTTTTCATGAGTTTTGCATTATTAATATTTTGACCATCCTTCAATACCGCAAGTCAAAGTCTGAAATTTTTCTTCAGTTCCGTCAGCCTGATTGAGAAATGCTGAGCCTGCTCTTCTCTTTTGGCTTTCTTACTCCAGGTCTTTGCACACTTCATTATAATATTTGACTTTGTCTTTTTGAGTTGTCCTTTGAAATTTTCTGTTCAGCTCTTATACCTCCTCACTTCTTCCACTTGCTTTAGTACCTCTAAGCTGGAGAGCAAATTTCAGAGTCTCATCTAACATACATTTGGTATTTTCCTTCTTTCTTGTCTTCTTAATGACCTTTTGCTTCTTCCTGTATGATGTTCTTGATGTCATCCCACAACTCTTCCAGTCTCCAGTCTTTAG